CCCCGGTCGACCGCCGCCAGACGCAGCGGCCGGCTCGAAATATAGAGAGGAAAGGGGGCAATCGACATGGGGACTCCCTGTACCGAGTGTGTCTTGGGACAACTGAATCTACGCTTAACCGCATGTACCACCAGACCAGGCACATACCTCATCCGCAATAAACCTCGAACGTAATGGAATACCGATTTTCGATTTATTTCAGGCGGAAATTAAATCGACCGTAATTAGATTTCAGTTTTAATCGTAGGTCGCTCTTTCGTTAACTTCGCAAATCAATTTTCAAATTGTGCAACTTGAATAAATAAAAAGAATATGAAAAACACGGTCGATTAATGTACGAATCTTACAAATGTAAGAGAGTCGGAAATTACGAGCAGTAAAAGATATTATATTTAATAAATAATTGTTATAATACAATAAAAAGGTGAATAATTCGACACCACTGGCAACAGGGAAACTTCCTTTATTCGCATAACGTTTCGGCCTTAGGTTTTGGGCCCTTATCAAGTGCAATCGAACTCATTCAAACGGCGCATGGTATGTGGTCAAATGCCATCGGGCACCACTGTACAAAACAACGCAGAGTTACAGTTAGCAAACAATGAACTACGCAAAGTTACTTGTGTACTATATGCAAAAAGGTTTATAACATAAATAAATTAAATAAATAGATCCATTAAATAGGTACATTTAAATTATCAATACGCAGACAAATAATTATTAACAAAGGATAAGCAGCGTGAACGATTCGACTATCCTGTCTTCTTCGGCACAAACTGATTAAATAAATACTTTCTCAGGTATAGCATCAATTATTAAAATTTTCAAATGCAATGTGAAAATATTGCGATACGTGGTATATCGCGAATTAAATTTTTCTCGATAAAAAGCGACTTTGGAGAACATCCGCAGAGTGAATGCGAGCAGGCGCTGAAACGATTCTTCGATCCAAACATCGGCCGACGCTATTGTCGTGCCATCGCAGGTGAAATGTCGATCCTGTCGCTGTCGCACGGGAAAGCAGACGTAGACAAGAAAAAGCTTACGTACGCAGCGACGAGTCACGGTGATTTGCGAAAGAGAGCGGTGCTCTCTCCTCCCTCCAGCCGCCCGAAAACCGCGCACGTCGATCGTTCAGCGTTTCCGCGCGCTTTACGAATTTTATTGCGTTACCTCACGTATCCCACGTGTTGTCCAAAATGTCATAAGTTATAATCGTTATTCCGTAACAAGACCCACAACAATTTGAACGGGTCATATCACAATCTACTCGCTAAAGAGGTCGCCCTCCGTCTCTGTATCCGCTAACGGATTCCTCGGAGAGGAAAAACGAATGGGTGAAACGGTAGAACGCTGGCGGTGTAAAAGTCCAGTAACGTAAAACACAACGGCGGCTATTCTTAGACGGCAGCAACATTCCGTAAACCGTGTAAAAATGCAGCGCCCGTATCGAATGCTACACCCGATATCCGGGAGGAGAGAAACTGGCGATGGGCCGGCAGCTTAGTTTTACTTTCCGCCCGTAGTAATGCATGGACTGCTCTTCCGCTCGATTATAAATACGAATCGGAGCGTGTGCGAAGATCGTCGCTCGTTTCTCGCGGATGACTTGGTCCGCCTGAGACGGTTTATATTCTTCGCGGGTGCGCGATACTCGCCGCTAAACGCGCTATGGTATCTCGTAAACGAGAAAGAAGGCGGATATAGAACACTGTTCAGAGAAGCGAATGAAGATTATACAGTATGATCCAGTACGGTCCGCGAAAAATTTCAACGTGGACTCTATGCGAGTGTTAAATGACTTTTGAAAAATAAATCGCTCGTAAATTTTTACCATATTCTAAAAGTAAAAATTAAAATGTATAATCGTTAGTTAATTTGCGTTAGAACAGAGAAAATTATGTTTTTAATATAATTATTTCAAAAGCACGCGGACGAAACCACAATTCGAAAGTACACTGTTAATAAAACTTTGTGAAACAGAGTTTTAAATAACGATTTTAATAATTTATTAATGTCTATTTAGAAGGTAGATTTTTAGTTAAATAATTCTCCGTCGAGTTATTATTTTTATGGCTACTTTTTGGATCCGCCAATTGAAATTGGTTTCGTACGAGCAACCCACTTGCCTTCATCCGATTTTGCTGTGGTCGTTCGCTTCGTCTTTTCGTTTCCAATAAATGTATGTACACGTTAAAGGAAAATAAATTCTATCGCGAATGATACGTTCTTTTAGGATGTCGTTAAAGGATGTAGTGGATCTTTCCCCACATATATAACACGTGATCCACTGGCCGTAAACGGGGCGAGCGATAAATCTTTATAGCGAAGTTATTTCGAAACTTATTAGCTGAACATGCATGATGCAGCTCTTTCGAGAGCTCAATGTGTTACACATTAATCTATTACGTTAATATATTATATCCTTCGGAAACACATTACGAACCCGGATATTAAATACACACGAAATTAAAGTCGCGGCTTTAAATCAAGCAATAATATCGTTTTAAAAAAACTCGGTTAAATACGCTCGCAGGAAAAATAGACTTTCTTTTTCTTTTTTCATTGCCAGCGTACCTTAAATAAAATGTAATATTTAAATTTTATACAATTATATTAAGTAAAACATACATATACATATATTGCTCCATTAATATTTAATGCGTTTTACATCGCAAAGTATTGATATCATTTTAAACAATGTTAATTTAAAAAATACTCATTTCGAAGAGTTCATAATTCACTGGAATAATTGGAAATAAACCGTCTATGCAAACTATGAGACAGCCGACTGCCATAGCGGAGGCTATAAACTGTTATGATCCTGTGCTATCCTATAACAAGCTTATCTGCGGGGTAGGGTCCCGGTTTTGATATAGGGCTTGACCATAACCGCGTAAGCAGAAAAGTACTTGTGCACACGTTTTCACGACGGTATTTATCGCGATATTTCATACAGCGCGGAATATCCTACGCTTTTTTTTCCGCTTCGCGGATATTTCCACCTGAAATTGTTCGTAGAGTCCAATGTTACGTTAACATCCGCGCGTTCGCCGCGCTGTATACATTTACCTCCTAAAATTTTTTAACAGGATCCATTAGCGAGTTTGGCGTTGAAATTAATCACTCGCGCGCGTGCGCGCGCGCGCGTGAATCGACGAAATTGTTCAATTAGTTACTCGTTGCTCGGTAAACTAAGTAAAAACAAAGTTACGTTCGCACTACGTCCTTTCTATTCCTTTTTTTATTACGGGATGAAATTTTTTTTACACGTAAGATTTCCAAAGTCTAACCCCAAAACAAGTTCGTCGATTTGCTACCGCAAACATCTAGCGCGAGCCTCCAGCTTTCTTTTATGTTAGGTCGCAGAAAATTGCTAGCTTCCCCGGTAATACGACTTCGCGTTGCTTCCTGTTGCCATACGTCCTCGACAAACACGATCGCACACGAAGGGAAAACGGATTGGTCTGTCCGGTGTGGTCCGTCATTCTTTTCCACCTATTCTCCTTAAACCCACCGGTCCGCTCTCCATCCACTGGTCGCATTGTAATTCCGACCGAACAGTTTCGCTAGTGGCAAGTCCCTACGTGCCCGGCATGTCAAATTCGACATATAAAACTGCCGTGGAGACAGTAACCGTTCCGGCTTAACGTATCGTCGGCACGTGTCACCGTCCGCGTCGTCGTCTTCGTCGTTGTCTTCGTCATCGTCTTCCTCGTCGTGCTAACTGCCGTCGTACTGTGGCTATTACTATTGCAAACGCGAGGACGCCCGTAAATAATTGGTATCGGATGCTCATTAGCTAAATCACCCACTGTTATCGCCGAGTCGACTCACGAACGCTGTAGCGCGACGATAAAATACATTGGATGGAATACAGGCTGTCTCGAAATAAATAAAACCTTCACGAACATATACAATGGTATGTGTCTTGTCGGTTATTTTCTTCCGTGGGCTGAAATTTTTCTAAATACTATATCGAAAATCTGATAAATTAGTCGGGATATTTATGTTGTGCCGAGTTGAAAAGTGCGGAATTAAGTTTTGAAAGAATTATCGCAATTTCCATTCGATTCTAAGCAAACTGTGAACGAAGATTTGACAAATTTAGGAAATGGTAACAAATATAGCGTTTTTCCAATTTTTAAAAAAGAAAAATCGTCTATGTGTCTGCTCGGGTATCTGTTGTCGGCAGAAAGTACATTGTATTTAGGACGTCATAAGAACAAATGGCACGTTTTATTAATAGGCGGTGAACGAAGAAAGAAATAACGCGGAAGGTTTATTAGTAGTGACCCTTTATTCTCAAACGTCCTATCACGGATCGTTATCGAGCATCCATTAAACATTATCCTTAATTAGCTGTTGTCGAGAGAGTAAATTTAATTAAATCGACGACCACAACTATTCGTTTGACAAATAAAAGCGTGTGGAACAAGAAAATTTGCCGTTTAACCGTTTTGTTGCGAAAAGCGAGTGGTACCAAAAGCTACCTCTGAAAGTTGTACTTAAAGTTCAATTGTTTTATATCTGAATGCATAATGTCCTCTTTCTCTTGTTCCACAACGTGAAATTTAATTTAGAATAACAAGCTTTAAACTGAATTAGCAAATTTATTATACATAAAAGCCACATTATCGTCCGTAATAAATTATAACAGATATACATTAAAATATATAACGTAAAATTAAATACTAGAAGTAACAACTTTCCAAATAAATTCTCGCGTACCGTTTCGCACTGGAACCCCGACGAATTTTGTTACACGCGATATTTATTCAGCATGCCAAAAAACTATAACAAATTTTTCTATCACAAAAAGTATCTACGATGTTGAATGCATTTTTGCACTGAAATACATTTCATGCGAAAAACGTTCAGAAATTATTTCCAAGCGAACGAAAAGCTGAACAAGCGTTCCTGCAAAAAGCATACGTGAAAATTAAACCGCGAGGCTCCCCGCGAGGAATGTGTCACATCAATTAATGGCGAAAACTTACAATTAAAGTACAACAGTATTCCAGCGACGAAGACGAAAATGACGACCAGGAGCACCAACAGGAGCAGCAGTATCGTTGGCCTGCACCAAGGGCTTCTGGTCACCTCGGTTTGCCTGCTGTCCTTGGATCGTTTCTGATCGACCACCGCGGACTCCCCGCTAACGTTCACCACGACACCCTTGTACGTATATTGGGGCGCTTTCTTGTCCGCCAGGAAGCCATGATCGTCCTCAGGATCCGAGTAAACCCCGTAAGCCTCGAAATTATTTTTCCTATATCCGTTCATCTTCTCCGCGCCGGTCTCCTCCTGATCTTGATGCTTCCTGACGTACGCGCCGGAGGAAGACGAGCCCAGCTCGCCGATTTTCAAGGTTTGATCGTACGACTTGTCCTGATATCTGGAGGATGAGGTGCCCTCATACTTGGCCCTCTCGTAGCTCTTCGAGCTCGTCAGCTCATACTTGGTCTCGTAGCTCTTGCCACCGCATTCGTACGACTGCTCGTCGTACTTGGGCTCAAAGGTGGGCCTGGACTCGTAGGTTGGCTCGTAAGACTTGCTACTCTCGTACCTCGGCAGAGTGCCGTACATCTTACTGACCGAGTGGTATTTGCTCTCATATTGTCTGACTGGTGGCTCCTGTTGTCCGGCGCAGGTGCCCAGGTCGTAAGCGGAATCGTGGGTTTTCACACCTGACTCATAGCCCTTGGAGGCGGCCGGCTCGTATATCTTGCCCGCATGATGATGGTGAAGGTGGTCTTTCTTGGGCTCCAGCTTCAATGTCTCCTCGGCGTAGCGCGACGCGTACTCATAGTCGGTCAGGTCGCGCGAGTATCGCCTGCTGGGATCCTGGAGCTCCGGATAAGCTCTGCTGAGCTTTTGCGCGTCGTTCCGATCGTAAGGCGCGTCCAGGTCCGATTCCTGGTAAGTGCGCTGATCCACGCGGCGATCGGTGCTATATCTCAGTCCGTCCTCCGGGTAGATCCTGTTGTCGTACCTCTCGAGGTTCTCCCGATCGAAGCCGACACCCGCCTTACGATCGTAGTTTCGGTATCCCCTCGACTGATCGTGGTAGGCCCCATCGTAGACCGGCGCCACCGCGGCGGACGATTGGGGATCCTGATAGGACTTGATCTCTTGGTACTCCAGGTAACGGGAGGACCTTCGCTCGTTACCATAGTCCATCGAGCCCTCGACCACGTTAGGCAGTTTGCTGCTCAAATTCTCACCGGTTCCGGCGGATAGCGCCTGGCAGGTCTCCGCATGCTCGACCAGATTCGGCAGCCGCGACAACGAGCTACCTGGCGTGTTCTCCGTCAGGTCGAGCTTGAGGCCGTTGCTGCTGGTCCTGCGCATTTTCGGGGATTCGCATGATCGTTCCGCGGGACCGCGCTACAACCCGTGGACGATAGCGCCGGCGGTAACAGCGGTAATCGGAGTCTGTCGCGCGCTGGTTAATTACGAGCGCATTTTCGTGTTAGTAGCGGGGTTAGTGGGTGAACACTACTACTCCTGGAAACAGAGAGAAAAAAGGAAGTAGCTGTTAGTATGGTTAGTGAAATTTATATTTCTACAATTATGCAATAATAAGGATTTTAGGGACTTGTTAGTAAAGTAATAAATTATTTGGAGAATATTTAATAAACAATTTGAAACAAGGATATTTCAGCTTAATGCCTGGTTAGTCACTAATTAATATATTTGTAATAAACCACTTGATGTTAATTAATTCAAGGATTTTTCCTAGTGCGAAAAATTGTACTTGGCATTCGATAGTTTCATTTGCTTGTACACTTTCTATAGAAGGGGCTGGCAAGCACGCGTGCGTATTTATTAGCGGTTCGTTATCGACGCAAGTATATCTCCCGATACAATATTCGAGGGGAGGAGGAGCAGGAAGAGGCAGTCTGTAAGCGCTTCTCTAGACCGCGATTGCCCTCCGCATGCTCGGTAGCTCACGAATGGCCACTATAGCCAATGATGACGATAATACTCGATCGTGCGTGACCGAAATGCGGCTGCATCGCAGTCAATGATAATGCGGCCGTCGAGAATGCATATCGGACGGAGTTCCCGGAAAATTGAAGTAGCTTAAACACAATGAATACACGATAGCAACGTTTCACGTTCGACAAACCATTTCTCCCGAATAAGGATTCGCTTCTTATAGCAATTTCACCCTTTTCCTTCCATCTCTCTCTTTATTTCTGTTCCGTCTCCACATAATTTCTGCTTCATGTTTTCTATATTTTCAATGTTTCTTCAAGCATTCAGTATAAGTGCTAACGATATAAGTTGATCGTATAACGTGTGCGGTCGTACAATAAGATCTCGCCATTTACATTGTTACGTGTGTTCTAAAAGATTTTATTTTCAAACAGCCTCACTAAAAATTATCTTTTATAATTTAAAAGGTTATGCAGAGAGTCTACAATATTTTTGATAATGCATTACGTCATTGCAAGACTGTAGAGCCTACAGTCTTTTTCGGAATACTCAACAGGAGGGCAGGAACCTTGCTATTGTTACGTTATACGTTTAACAAGAGAGTTGGTAATATTCCAGACATAGACGCGCGGTCGCATTTGTCGTAAATCCAATCGCTTTCGTCCTATTTTTAAGGTACAGCTACACCCTTCCAGGAGAGAGTACTTTGGATCATGGATTTAACGAAGTCTACATTCAATAGAATTCCGATTTTAATTTGTTGAATAGGCCGGCGTTGCGCCGTCAAATCGACGCCGGATCGATAAATCACATTATTGAGCTAAGTCTTTCGATTACAGTCATATAATACCGTCCGCCCGGCTCCGTTCTCATTGTCAGTCGACGGGACGTATTCGCGATTGAACGCCCACGGCGGATCGATCGATAATTAATTAAACGCGATTGCGGAGGAACGACAAACGTCGCGCACCCGGAAGTTTCTACGAGAATACTGACAAGAATACCACCGTCTACCGTTTCTCCCCGTACTTGCGGACTTCCTCGAGGAGTGTTTCGCAAACCCGTCGGCTACGACGACGTTTGCCTTACATTGTCATATTGCATCCGAAACGGCTGGGTCTGCCTTTAATCCTTAATGAACGAGCCGCTATTACGACGTAACTTTAATCGAATAAAGTTTCGATCGTTGTGAGCGTTGATTTGCGGGAATTATGAGACGCGAAGACGAGGGACGGAAACTCCACAGCTGAAGAAAGACACGACCGTAGGGAGATAATCCAACTGCACTGTAATAAGATAGGTTGAGGTAACCAAATTCAGATGCCAAATTCGGATCAACAGTTTGATAAGTCGCTAATAAGCGACATAAAAACACGTAGACGCCTGTTATGATATCGACAGTATAGCATAACATTGTAAATATATAAAAGAGCAAAGTTTAAGTGAGTTATAAATCAATTACAAATGCAAACGCCATTTAGGACCTGGCACAGATGGAGGTAGCCACTTGAATTAAGTACTATGTGAATCCTTATATCGTATTTTTTCCCATCCTGTCCCGCGCACCGTTGCAAACGGACATAACACAGGCTTTTGTTAGGAATCATTATCGTCAGTGAATTCACGTGTTATAAAATCGCTCAACGATTGTTCTAAATTATCTAACAAATGCTATACTAGTTGGCTAAGACGCCCGTCACGGATTGAGGGAGGTCCCAGGTTCGAATCCTGGCTGAGGTGATATTTTTCGCAATAAGAATTTTAATTTTTAGTATGAGGAAGGGAGGCTGTTCGCGATCGGACCATCCACGCGGTTCGCAGGAGCGCGGAGCGCGGGCCGATCTGGCTACGTGCTGATCAGCTGATCGACGATCGCGTCGGGACGGCGTGATGCGCATGCGTCAGCGATTCCACCGAGTCATCACATTGTTCGCCGAAACCGGCTCCGGTTTCGCCGATTTACCCTCTCCTTCGTAACACGAGATTTATGTGCGGTTTCTCGCGATCCCGGAGCCGTTTCACCGGGCACTCTAACTTCGCGAGTATTCTCCGACAGATATACGAGTCTCCCGCGATCTCTATTGTACGATCATATCGACGATTCGCGTATTCTGTTCGACACTCGTGCGTGCCTCAGTCTCGGTAAAAGCTGAAGTCAAGGAAACACAGTCGGGTCTTCCTCTCGCATTTAGTCCGGTATCTTCAATTTCACCGTCCGCTCACCTCCTGTAATTTTCTCGCTTTCGTAGTAACAAAATTAGATGTATTGATTATACAAGGATGAAAATCACGCGCCTGCTTAAAAGTTCATCTTTGAACGCAGCCAGAAATTCTGAGTGAACTTCGATCTTCTACCAAAATCCCGTTGAAATTCCGTCCTTGTCTTTGTCTCTTCGACCGACAGTTACTCGTGCCTCGCCGTGTAATTTTTCTCCTTGTCCTCTCTTTATCTGCCGACCCGTTGCTTCGATGTATCGCGACAGTAATTTCCTTATCGCCCGTGCGATATTGTTTGGTGACGACGACCTAACGACTCGTTGAGATTATTCGTCATCAAGGACCGCATCGAAGCTTAACCTTTGTCGGTTTGAAACTGCTCGACAACGCGTGTGCGCGGTTTTGAGTGCTCGATCATTGCTTACTTCTACTCGTTGCGTGGTATCAATATTCGAGAATTTCGCTTATCGCTTCGCGCCTCTATCGAGGTGGTCCCGGCATTCGTTTTGGCCTGAGGCGATCCTCAGCTGTCCCGAAACAGGGACTATCGTAATATATGCTAAGTATAGTATTTTAATATAATTTAGACAAATCGTTCAGTGATTTTATAACACGTGAATTCACTGACGATAATGCTTCCACCTAACAAAAGTTCTTTTGCAACGGTGCGCGGGACAGGATGGAAAAAATACGGTGTATGGATTCAGATAGTAATTCAAGTGGCTACCTCCATCTGTGCCCTAAATGGCGTTTACACTTGTAATTGATTTATATCTTGAAGGGCCGAGTTAAAAAAATTTAGTTGTTAAGTGAGTTACTTTAAAATGTCGCTTATTAGCGACTCGTCAAATTGTTGATCCGCATTTGGTCACCTTACCCTAAGGAATAAACAAAGTTCTAATTGACGTGTTCCTATTAATTTAAAAACGAGCGAGCGATCTACGATATCCCCGCTTCGTTTAATTTGCACTGGAATAAATGCGGGTAATATGTCGTAATCGCTGCGCCATTATCAGTAATTATTTCTCGATAGTTTCAAGTAAGCGGTTTAACGCGACGAAATGAGAATATTTCAGCGTTAAACGCATCACGCCGATAGGAGGCCGCATTTCCTTCCGGGTGAAGGCGATCAATCGCCGATGATCCTCGCGCCGGCTACAAGCCGGCGCTGTTCGTCATAAAATTTTCTCTAGCGACTAAACTGGAGTAATAAGTATGACAAGGGCTCAAAGGAGATTGCTGTTCCGCATGCAAATATGATTAGTTCCGGCGCGTAACTTCATTTGCGTATATTAAAAGCGCGGATAGCTCACTTTATGCAAACGACGACGGGATGGGCGTCGAGAATGAGGAAGGAGGAGCGGGAGGGAACGGGTGGAAGGGTGGCTGGAAAGGGGAGATGAAAAGGGTAGGAGAGAAAAAAAATGTTTCGCGAAGAATTATTAAGTGCGAGAGGAGCTGCATTGGGGAAGAATAGGCGATGGGCGGAACGGGGCGCGAGGAGAGCGAGGGGGAAAAAAGGGTGGCGTCCTTTTCTGGTTCCTGATTGCTGGTCGTTAAACGTCCCGGCCGCGCGCCCGGCGCCTCGCACTTAAACGTTACCGTAACTTCGTAGAGACAACGGTAATCGCGTGTCACCCCGTTTTGCGTTCGCAAAACTGCATCGGACTATTATAAGCTCGTCGCGTGAAAAGTAAAGGGACATTAGCCGGGGAGAAAGCGTATATCCCCCAGTTTGTCTCTGTCACGCCTGACGTTCATTTGTCAAGCGTTCCGATCCGCCAACGTAGGTCCACGACAGAAACCAAATATGCTTGATACCGAACACAGCCTTTTTCAAGCTAATGCGGCAAATCTTCGGCGTCCCATTTGCGCCCGCCTCTTTTTCCAGTAACTCAAAATCCGACACGGTGTCATTTGGCGTCGTGTTTATTTGTCACAATACCTAGCGTCAGAATAGCGGTAGGCTTTAATAAAAATCACGATGCAGTTGAAGCCCAGGGGCATCCGTCGTATTTTCTCGCCCCGCGTTCGATCCGCGTTCTCTTTTTATCGTCAATGTCACGCGAACGACGGTGTCCGGGGGAGGGGGGGAGGGGGATTTCTCTCTTAATGGGAATGTGCCAGAAGACTTGGAAAGTACATCTCGTCCCATCTGCTCCATTCTATCGCTCGGACAAAACTCGGATTTCATAAATGGCGGTACGCTGTGCCCGGCGCAACGTTCGACTCGTTCGTGGAGCGAGAGCGGGATATCCGGGACATCGCGACGAGAACACGGAATTAATCCGCCTCTACGCTTTTTGCCCTCCGCAGTCGCGCTGTCGCGCGCGTTTCCTCTGGCGTTT